TTTTTTTTTTTTTTTTTTTTTTTTTTTTTTTTTTTCGTCTGTATAGCAAAAGAAGTTGCGGGCAGTATTTCTTAATACAGGTATTCGGGTTTTTGTGCCTTCTGTGATTTTGTATGTTTGCCAAAGTGTGGGGTCCATTTTTTTATGTCTGTCGAAAGTCTGTTCTGCCATTTTTGGTTTCTTGATTCTATAATGTGCTTACAGATGAGATTGGACAGCAGATTTCTGTGTAATTTATGGAGGAGGTCACCAGTTTTTTAGAACTTTCCTCTATGTTTGTTCCTTTGTTTGATGAGGTGTCTCGAAGGATTTGATTTGCGGGGAAAAGTTGAGTTTCGTTTTGGATTTTGTGGATCGAATCGCGAAAGGATTCTTGTATTTGCTGGCTGAGATTGTTCATTTCGTCGTCAATGTCAGCTGTAATCTGTAGTTGGAGATTTATTTTAAGTCTAGCAAGGTCTTTTGTGAAGGTCCAGTCTGTCTGCTGATAAGTTCTGGCATCTTGTGTTGTTTCAGCTTTTGAGCGAAAGAGCCTGAGGTAGGTGATTTCACGATAGTTCGTCTATAGTATTGTAGTTGTATAGAAAAGGGACATTTCCTGTGAGTATAGGTGGAGCTGTGAATGATACGATCTGGAGTTCCGCGTGATTCTTGAAGATGGATCCATTTGTGTTTCTATTGGTGTTGTTTCATAAGCTGTGCTTTGCGTTGAAGTCATTACCTACGATATAGTGACCAGACCTGTGTCATAGTATGATAGCATCAGGTCAGCGGGGTTGATTTTAAGTTGGAAAGAGGGGAAAGTATTCCAAGTTCAATGGTTAGTCTAGGGGTTTTGGTCTTGATCGTTAGTATCTCTACAATCAAGGAAGGGGAAGTTTCAGGTGTTTTGTTACAGAGATCTTGTGTCGTGCTTGTATTGTTTCTTGTTACAGTTGGATGAGGTGTGACCATGAGCTTGGCAGCAGAAGCACTGTATGGTTGGCTTTTCGGGAGTCTAATTGTTTTCAATATATTTTCAGATTTTCTACTTATCTGACATAGTTAATTTGTGTTAGGGTAGTTAGATTTAAGTTAGGTTTTAGAGTCGAGGATAACTCCCAGGTATTTAACAATGGAGAACCAGGGGATAGTTTGACTGAAAATTTTGACTTGACTTTTAATGAAATGATGGCTCATGACGTTTATTATTAATTTCCAGTTTATGAAGTACTCTTGTAGTGTGTCTAGATGATTTTGGATATATTTGGTAGCTTTAGAGGAAGCAGATATTGCAGTATCATCTGCATAGATGGCGGTATTTGGATTCTGGGAAGATCATTTATGTATAAAATAAAGACAAGTATAGATCTTTATGGAACACCGGCTGTGACATTTTGAATTGTTGAGTTAGTGTCGTTGATGAAAATAAAAGTTCCTGCTGTGGATGCAGCTGATTATTATATTGATAAGTTGAGAGGGAATGTGCATTGCATGTAATTTTAGAGGTTTTAGTAAGTTAGTAGGGTGCTATGCCAAACTGAATGCAATACCTTTTGTGGCGACACGATGTCTCAAGCGTTATGATGCGATTCGCGCAGTTGCGACCATGTGTGAAGTATGACGAGAAGATAAGAACCTTTGTGAAATGAACGATTCCGATATATGATCGGAAATCGCGAGCAGTGGACTGTACAATTGAAATGTACGTGTGTGTTGGCTATATAGCGGAAGACCAACTATAGCCCGAGTCATAGTGATACGCACTGAAGACAAAGTAATTGTGTGACGTACTAACTGCGGAATATCGCAATGATGAATATTGTTGTATCACTGTAAAATTGTTATGTCATTGGAATATTGTTATATCACTGTCAAATGATGTATCACTGCTTTCCCGCCTGTTTTATGGAATGGCGAGCGTGAGCCAATCACTTTAAACTATGAGCCGTTTAGTTTCTTTGACGTAATTCTTTTAAAGACGGTGAAATTATTAAGCATCGATGCGGTGATCGATGTCAACTGTCTTTAGAGACAGATCAGCAACCAGGAAAGAACAATAAACTATCGCATCACGATAGCCGCGTGATAAACGTTAGGACTTCTCCAGGATAAAAAACTGGTAGGGCCTTATCTAAAAATAGAGTAATAATTTACTTTATGTGGACAAGAAGCTTGACGTTTGACATATTAGAATTATGGGAAATCGCCCGAACATTTTGAAAGTCCAATAATATAAGTTGTGTTATTCTTTTCTTGTTTCGTTCTATTATAATGTATTCTGTGAATGCACGTAACTGGGTATGCATGAAAGGTTTTGTGGGAAACCGAATTGTTGAGGAATTATTATTTCGGATTTTAAATTATTATTGGGGAGTATGTGGATGAAGAGGTGTTCGGTAAATGATTTTTTGGAGTACCTAGAATATCTAAGAGGCTGATCGGTCTATAGTTAAATGTGTATGTTGCAGGTTTCCCTAGTTTTTCGGTATCGGAATGACTTTTGTCATTTTTCAAACAGTTGGGAAATAGGCGAGTTTTAAAGAGGCTTTGTAAATATAGTATAATATAGTTGTACTATAGGTTTGGTTGGTACATTTTTTAGTTTCGTGGTTATCTTATCGGGTCCGGGAGCTTTATTGTTGAGAAATTTATTTCTTATGTTTTTGATTGTTCTAGGTCAGAATAAGAAGTTTTCTTGAATTAGAGGGATTGCTTTGTGTTCGATATCCTGTTCTATGGTCCTTTTTCGAGCTAGAGCTTAAGATTTTTCTTCGTCCAAATAAAGAATTATGTTGTGCGTTGTGTTCTGTAGTACGGCCATTTTGATTTTGGAATCTTTTGTAATTCGGTACGTTTGCATGTGATCGGTATTTCTTATGTTTGCTAATTTTTGCTGCCAAGTATTGTTTTTTTGCCTGGGTTATTCTTTTTTGTATAGAGTTTGCGAGGATGTTTCTTTGCAGTTTATAAATCGGATTTCCAGTCTTTTGATATTTTCTTCTCATTCTGTTTCTGCCTTTTATAATGTCGGAAAGGAACGGATCAATGATTGGGCTTATGTTATGGGCTGAGACTATTTATACAGTGTATATGCCTTCTGTGTGTGATAAGTGAGAGTTTTGATTTCTGTGTCTATGTTCAATTTGTTAGTTAGGTGTGGGTTTATGTTGATTCCATTGCAAAATTTGGCATATGCGATTCAGCTGATGTGTTCTGTCGTTTTTGTTCTTCTTTTTGTCTTGTGCATTTGAAGCGATAATTCTATTGGGAGATAGTTAGAGAGTAAATTGTCAATGATTTGGCAGTTATAAAAGTAGGGTACATTGGAAAGAAAAATATGAGTATTGGTTGGTGTGCAGTTTTCTGTGTGTGTATGTTGGACTGTGTATAATTTGGTCATCTCGGAGTTCAGAGTGATTTTTCATTGCCGATCCGTTAGCATTTTTATCATTTAAATTGTTCTAAATACGGTATTTGGCGTTGAAGTCTCCTCCGATAAAGAGGAGACTTCAACGCCAAATATGTCCTGTACCGAAAAGGAGGATAATGTTATCGATATCGGTTTGGTTTATTTTGTTTTTCGAGGCTACGTATGCGGTACCTATGATGAGTCTTGATGTGGTTTTCAATTTTATTGATATATATTCTATGTTAAGGGAGGTAGGTTGAGAGATGTCTTTGAATATGGCTTGGGAAGAATACCCTTTCTCTTGGTTTGTTTGCAGTAGTGAGGGATTCATCTTTCCTGTAAATGTTATAGCTTGGCAGTTTGAAGATGTCTGTGGACGATAACCAGATTCCAGGTAGCAATATCTATGTTATGATCAATGAGAAATTTGTGAAGTTCAATTGTTTTATTCTTTACGCTAATTGCGTTCCATAAAGTGAAATTTAGAGAATTTCTATGAGTGGCCATTTCCCAGTTCTTTTACTATTAGGATTGTAGCTTTAATTCTATCTAGATTATTTGCGCATTTAATGTAATTTTGGATTAATGTAATTAAGAATAAGTCGAGTTAATCTGTGATATCGATTGCAGATCCTGTTGTCCTGTTGATAAGAGGTTGTGCTGTGGCTGTTGAGGTATTAGTGCTGTTGCGTATGATAGGCCTTGTTTTTAATCCGTGAACGGATGAAGATTGTTGTACCGGTTGGATTTTGTTGGTACATGCCTTTTTTTTGGTAGGACAGAACATTTCGAATAGTTGACTGGATGATTTCCTTTGCAGTTTGCGTAAGTGGATGGAGTTTCGAGTGTTTTTTTTTTTTTGGAAATTCTGGAATCATATGGTCCAGCAACTTAACGCTGACGTTTTATTGTTGTCCATTGTGTAGATTTTTCTGCCGTTGTGCAAACCAGGTTCATAGCTGTCTCATGCTCAGGCTGCCCCGATCTGGATGGCCTTTATTAGGTGATACTTCCAGTTGTTACAGTTTTATTTCCTTGGATGTGAACACTGAACTCTATCCTTTTAAACTTTCGCTTGAGTAATTCGCAAGTATATCGAACTGCTCAATTTCAGATATCAATTGCGAAATTCTGTCAAGACTCCGTGGCAGTTTTTTTTTTTTTTTTTTACTTGTGTTGGGCGTTACAGTTCTTAAGGTTAAGTAATCTTTTTATCTGCATATAAAAATGTAAGAAGTTAGATGTTCGAGAAGTAAGGTGTAGAATGACTGTTGTGCGATTTACAAAAAAAATTTCAAAAAATTGCTGTACTTGATGAGTTCTTGATGTATGTGTGTGTGGGGGAGGGAGATTGATTATACCAGAAATAAGGCATGCTTCAGTGTCTTGGTTTTTATTTTCAGAAGAATTTCATTGATATTGTAGTTCCCTGTGCGGCGGATAAGTGGATTGGAGTGCTGATGATTGTAAATTGTTTTTAGTGAGTTGATGATATATTTCTGTATCGTTAATTAATTTTAGCGATTTTATAGAGTTCGAGAATCGAGATATCGCGGGGTTTATTATGTATTATGCGTAAAAATTTTTTTTGTACTTTCTGCACTTCGTTCGTATGTTTTTGCCGCAGCTGCCTATATTTAATGGGTCGGATACATATTTTGTTATTGATTTTTAATTTGTTGTTTTTGGAGATAAAGCTTCTTGAGTGTTGGGTAGGATAGACTGATTCTCTTTGTTGTAACAAGGACCTAATTTATTTTGGCATTTAGAACTAGATACTTGACAGTGGAGAATTATGGGATACTGTGGCCGGCTATATTGATTTGGTGAGTTAGATGAAGTTCCTTTTTGGTAAATGTAATTACTTGGAGGGGTTGACTGTAAGTTTCCATTTTTGGTAGTACTCTAGGAGTTTGTCCAAGTGGTCTTAGATGTAGGCTGTTGTTTAGTAAGGCTCCATAGGGGACAAATATAGCCGTGTTATCTGTATAGATAGTTGTGTG